TAAAACCAAAGCAGAATTTTAAATTATGTATAGTAAGAAAAAGGCAATTGGTGTATTTAATACATATTTAGCATAATACAATCTGAACATCTTTTGCATACTCTGCATCAACTGGGATTCATTAATTGATATTAAAAGAAGTTACATAAAGAGTATACATCAGTAATCTAGCCAGATACTGTATTATAAACTATCTTTCTATTGGACCACAGAGCAAGTTGGCAAAAAGTCTGCTTCTTTCAAAGTCATTTGATAGGATAAAATCCAGCTTTCAGAATATATACCCTATTCATTTATATAGCCGCCCAGGGCTTTTTTTGTCATAGAACGTCCAGAACGGAGTTCCGGTACCTTGTAGGGTAGGCAAGACGGGTTGTATGACATGTGAGTTCTGGCACCTTTTTTTTTTTTTTTTTTCAAAAAAAGCACTGTAGCCGCCTATCTTTCAACCAACTCTGAGCAGCTACCAATCAAAAATTAAAAGACATATATAATCATTTTAAAACTATAAAACTCAGCCAATTAAAACAACAACTTGATGCCAATCAGTTCTAATGTGTGTCCCAACACTTGAAGGAAAAGCCAAATCTTTATATATATGAAACCCCCATCAGAAAACTGATTCTTCAGCTGCATCCAGATCAAGGCACCTAATAATCCATATGAATCCATCTTATCAGCATATAGCTTCAGTTTGTTCAATGTTTACCCTTGTCTGTTAAAATCCATATAAAAGTCCAAAACTAGATAGCAATCTGAAAGGTTAATTCAGAAGTTATTAACCTTTCTACAAATACAAGGCTCTGTTTTCTTGGCCTTTCAGCATTTTTCTCTAAATTAATTTATTTCCATTCACTCCTTTAATGCTTCTTCATTGTCTTTTTAGAACTTTTCTGCAATTATCTTAATTTCTGCTTTCTTTCTGTGGTGTTTTTGACTGCTTATACTAACTTGTTGTTTTAGTTGTTTGCATGATATTTTCTCAAACAGTTGATTTATTGTAATTTTACTATAGAAGTTGTGTTGTTTTAACTGTAAATTATGACAGCATTTTCTTTAGCATACCCAACAGAAAGATATTTATAGGTATAACTATATACCTCTTTTTAAATCTAATAGATTTATTTATTGAATCAATTTAATAATATGGATTTACAGTATTATCTTTTAACTTTGACCCTTTACTAATGCATTGGTGATACTTTTGTCTTGTATAAAGTTTAGAAGAAATGGAAGATAAATATCAAAACAGGGAACCAAGGCCAGAAGACCTGCAGCTTATTGCAGAGCTGAAAGACCTGATTGCTGAGAGGGATCAGCTGATAAAGAAGCTGATTGTAAGATAATTTGGTGGCCTTTGTTTTGAGCTTGTCAGACACTAATAATTTTTTGTCAAATATTCCAAACACTATTATATGAGAAAGAAAACAATCTAAATGAAAGTGACTTTTAATTAGTTTTAATCTCAGTTATCTAAGCTGCACACACAATTCCATATTTCTTTTTGTACTCTTAAACAGTTGTTCATAATTCAGTCTTTAAAATAATTTAATTCTATATAATCTCTCTATTCTGTTTGGAATAAATGTGTACTGGAAATGTTACTCATAAAATTGTATCTTTTGTACTATAGATAAATCACAATGCTAGAGAAATTTTAAAACATTGGGGGGGGATACTTTTTCCTTCCTAGCTGGCATCTATATAAACAATATCTATTTTAATATAATTTCTAATAAGTATGTTCTGAATTTTGCTGATAAGAAATTTGCTAATATGAACCACCTGTATCACAATAAGGGGAGAGCAAAAAAAATTGTCTTATAGAGTATTTGAACTCAATGCAAAGTGAGAATGCTAATGCTGCTGTAGAGAAGGATTATAGGAATGCCACAAATTATTACATAAATGGAACACATGTTGCCAATCTTAGTTCAGCTTCAACAGTTCCATATCTGAAGTCAAGATTTTTTTGTGAACAAAGGTTGGTCATACTAGCTAAATAATCACAATTGAATATATTGAAAACAACATGAACATATTCTTTTCTTTATTAGGATGACAAAAAGTTCTATCAACTGGAACTAGTCAATAGGGAGACTAACTTCAACAAAGTGTTTAATGCAAGTCCTAATGTTGGTGTTATTAATCCTCTAGTAAAGGTATGGAACATAATTATTAACTTAAAAGTAGAAAATGTGGGTTGGTAATAATGCAAATAACAGAAATCCATTAACAAACACCAGGCAACAACACAGGTTGGGAACAGGCAAGTTTTTCACAATATGGTCAATTTTTCTTCTCAGTGAAAAATCTTTTTTTTAAAAGAGCAACATTTCCTTAAGAGTCATACTCAATCCCTGGTGACTTCCTGCCATCCTTCAGTTGTCTTAGCAGTAATATACATAGAGACTATTTCATGCTACCATTTTTACTTCCTGACCTACAGGCTGTTGGTGAGCCATCCAAGCACTAATTTATTTTGAGCTTGTTTAGCATCTGAGGCAGTTCTATCATCTACGCAAGAACTGTACTTTAGAATAGTTTTATATTTTATTTCTCAGAAACAGTTTGTTCCTGACAATTTTCTCAACCTACGCTGCTCATTCTACCCATTTTTGCAATTGCACTTTGATTGCTATTATCCTCTTTCAAAATCAAATTTTAATATTTGGTTTAGCATTTACTAATACTGTAGTGAATTAGACAGGAAAACGTAGTAAAAAGTATCAGTATAAGATTGATATAAACATGCCCTGGCAATTTGACAGGTGGTTAAATCAACTATATGAAACATTTATCCAAACTACCACGTTAGGGATGGTAATTAGTTTTTATTTTCCAATTAACAGGTGATGTTTGATAAGAGAGGAAACAAAAAATAGAGAAATTCAGTAATCCCTTTCCTTAACTTGGCCCACGGTAATTAAGGAGAGCCCTATTTACAAGCCAAGCTACTATAATAAAATAGGAATTGTCAGCAGACTCAATAAATTGTCTTCTGGAATTACAATTTGAATATATATATATAGCAGAGTAACTAAGGAACGATATACTTGAATGATTTTGAAAATAGGGAGATTTTTCTGTGAAAATCTGAAGGTTGTGGTATTAAAATCCTTAATCCAATCAAAAGTTTTTTAATTTTTGAAGAAGTATCTTGTTGAATAGTTCACTTAGTGGGGCACTGGGGGGCTATTGGAAGCATTTTATTCAACTCTTATCTATTTTTACTCAGCTGGCAGAAT